ATTTAGAGTAAAATAGACCATAAAGCAGGGTATGCTTTAGGGCGGGGCTACCTTGTGATTGACAGGTCATTCTCAGTGAGTCTGTCCAGCTCAACGCACCAAACTCAGATCAAATTGTCAAACTAGGCAGTGTTGATCAAATATCAATCAAGATCGTAATATGAGATTGTGTGTGACCAGGGAAGTCGCCATTGTTTTCTGCTATGGATGATTTGAAACCAAGCACAACCAATGAGAGCAGCTCAACTCGCAGTCAACACTACTGGCTCCAAAAAACCAACATGGCGATGGCCATTATGCCAAACTCGAGGCTTTAAAACAAACCAATAGGTGACATCATGATAGGCTCACACTTGGTCCAAACAAAGATGATTTATTTATTACTGGCTGGCCCGGTTTTATCATGTATGGGAGACTGACTGAATTTATTGCTGCCTTGTATTATATTGCCACCAGTTTATGAGTTTATGGGTAAGTTGAATCACAGAGGCCAGAATGTGGTACTATTAATCCATATACTCCTAGATAAAGCTTGAAAGATGTGAACTGATGTACAGTTTCGGTTAAGACAAGTATTTTCCCTAGCAGGAGTCACCATGCAGCAATGCACAGGATTTTAATAAATCAAGTAATTCAATAATGATATATGGATATATATAAACAGAAAGGACAATCCTAAATATAATAGCCTTGGTTGATTTGAAGGTCCTTTAAAAAAAAAAACTTAGCGAATTTCAACCAATCAGATCAACAAAGCCTATAAGCTAGTCAGACTCTTTCCGAAGTCAGTCTGGAGAAGAGCGAAAATGTCTTTTCTATCAGGAAAAGCTTTCAGTGCCATTCTTTGCTATTCTTTTAATGAAGAAATACTCTCCAGTTCTGATCTGAACTGATGCTAGCAACATCTAGTCTAACCTCTTTAGCAGCTGCCATTGTTGTTTTCCAACAAATAGTCACTTCTCTCACACAGGTCAATATGCACATAGCGTTGAACCACACCCTCAGCTACCAGTAGTTCCGCACAGAATGCTGAGTGGTCTAAATCACTGTGGTTGGACAAAGCACATAGCTTGAAGCTTGTGATTTAATGAGCTCCAGTCCAGCAGCTTTGCAAGGTTAGGTCGATTTGGTTGACTTGATCTGTGCTAACAAGTGAAAACAGCAAATGTGTTTTTAACACTACCTGTCCCAAGTTCTGTTTGAAGCAACAAGTCAGGTTCTTAACTTGACATATTTCATAGTTAATGTGTCAACTGAAAATTATGTCATCTAGATGGATATGTCACTGGTTACTAATAATATCGATTCCATCAGATGTGTGCAGATAAAGAGGCACTGTATGTAGTCTTTTTTTAAATCGATTTTTCAAATTTGAAAAAACTAGACCCTGTCTTACGCTCTAAAAACAACCAGTCTTTTGACTTCTTTCACCATATCTCTTCCTTTATGGGCTAAGGGGTCTCGCACTTAGCAGCAGGTCAGAACTTCAGCAGGTGCTGGAGAGGAGGAAGAGGGTCCAAAGTGACCAGGAAGAGGAGGGACAGGGCAGGACTCCTCTGGAAGATGTGCTACTTAGACGTCAGCAGAAACAACTTGAGGTAATAAATTCTGTTTATAAGGAGTCTGTTTGGCAAAGGCAGAAAATGCTTCATTTAGTATTACATGCAAATGATACCTCACTGACTTCTACTAAATACTTCAAATATGCCCTTATTCTGAAAAAGACAATGTTCCTATTAAGCTACTTCCTACTTTACATAGTTTTCCACTGGTGGCAGACTTGTTCGACCGTGCAAACACAGCCTACCTTTTTTATTCGTTCAGCCATCATCTTGAGAATGTTGGCATTGTGACAATTGTGCAGATCCAAAAACCTGTTGATTTACAAGTCTTTCATAATATTTAAAATAGCTGTATGGAGCTATTATTGTAGCAAAACTAGTCATAAATGTGAGCAGTGGGTGGGACATCAGGCAGCAAGTGAACACTTTGTCCTCAAAGTTGATGTGTTAGAAGCAGGAAAATGGTCAGTGTGAGCATTTGAGCGACTTTGACAAGGGCCACATTGTGATAGCTAGACGACTGGGTCAGAGCATCTCCAAAACTGCAGCTCCTGTGGGGTGTTCCCGGTCTGCAGTGGTCAGTACCTATCAAAAGTGGTCCAAGGAAGAAAAAGCGGTGAACCG